TCCAAAATGCAACATGCTGTTTCAGAAAAACAGTAATTACTATGTATAGTTATGGCAGAATAAAAAATAATGAGTATGAATACTTTAGCATTCCATATTATGCTCTTCAATTAACTTCAACAGAATAAAACAATAATATGATTAACAGTACATTATTAAAATGCACATGAATGTGGGATATAAGATAGCTAAATTGGCATCATAAAGTGGTTGTAAACCCTTGCATATTCCCAACGAAATGACTGGCCTCAGGTGATACACAGGAATTAATCAAATCCTTCTACACAAGTTGTACCTGTTTATCTGTAGTCTTCTTTTCTCTACATCCGTTCATAGTCTAGAATTTATAACACTTATCTGAGAGTTCAGAAAAAGGGGGCGGGGAGCTGAAATTACACACTGTAGAGCTCAGTGAGGAGAACTCTAAGAGCTGATTGGAGGGAAGAGACACACCCTCCCTCCACACAGCATAAAGGAACAGAGCTGAAGATATAAATCTGTTGGAGCTCCCTTCCCTGTCACCATTTTTCTGTTGGTGTCAAGAAAACAGCAGCAGACATAAATGACACTTAATACCCTGGATTAAGCCAAGTACACACTAGAGAGGGATATGCTTTGTTCGTATTTCATGTCTGAAGTTTACAACCACTTAAGTGAAATGTGGGCACAAGAGTTAGCTACATATACTCCCACATAGCTTTTTCGTACCTCAAGAAAGCTGACATCTGGTTGGCCACTTCCTATAGCTTCCTGCTTTTGGTTAGCATGACACGGTCTCAATGACCAATAGGGAATTGCAGGAGTCAGGAAGGGTCAGGCACCTCTAAACATTTGAGATCTGCATATTAGAATGCCCAGAGGCTTCATAAGTTGAGAAGCTGTTTGAAGATTCATTTCATTTTTTATGCGAATATAGCTCATTTTTATCTGCCAATAGGTTTACCTAAAAGAAAGCCAGTCTACACCTTCCTAATGTAAGAATCTGAATATTGTAGCTTTACATATACAGATTTATTTTGCCTTCATACTTAAATGTACATACTTGCTTGTGCAGACAGGCCTTGTCAAATGTTGCCTCTTTGCATTTGAACACAATGCTGCTGAAATGCACGCTTTGAAATGTGAAATGCAGCAAAAGGCTGTGCCTGTTTTTTTTTTTGCGGAAAGCCTGTTGTGTCCAAAGAATGCAATGCAAAGCCAGGCATGCCAGTGCAGCCTCAGAATTATCATTCCACGCTACACCATGAAAGCGAATAGAAATCTGATGACCTGCGTTTGACAGGCCGTTCAAACTCACAGGAAATGCAGTAAAACAATACCCATCTACACAACCCTTACTTACTGTATTTAAAACTCATACTTTAGCATGGGTGCTCAACCTGTGGCCCTCCTGGTGTTGCAGAACTACAAATCCAATGAGGCATTGCAAGGCTGACAGTTACAACCATGACTCCTAAAGGCAGAGGCATGATGGGAGTTGTAGTTTCCAACAGATGGAGGGCCACAGGTTGAGCACCAATAAGAGGTTTGAGATCCCCTTACCCTAGGTTCACATCTGTGCGGGTGGTACTGCTGTGGATCCGCATGAAAAATCACCCACACAGAGAAATGCGGACCCGCGGGCAGGTGCCATTAGTTCTAATGGCATGCCGCCCGCACTGGAAAACGCAACCGTACTGGGAACCGAGGTTCCTGTGTGGGCTGCGTTTTCCAAAGAAGTGCAGGAACTTCTTCCATGCGTGTCACAGGCACGGGAGTCCATTCAAATGAATGGGTTCTCGTTCCCACACAAAACGCGGCCCGCATGGCTGCATATATGTGAACCGGGGGTTAAATATGACAGCTAAAGAGCTGTCAACTGTGAAACAAATGAGACTACATAATGGCATCAAAATATGTCCTTAATTTTGTAGAAGTGTTGACAACTAAACAACTCTCAGGAGCTGCAAGACTGTGGGGTTGATTTACTAAAACTGGAGAGTGCAAAATCTGGTGTAGCTTTGCATAGAAACCAATCAGCTTCCAGGTTTCATTGTCAAAGCTTAACTGAACAAGCTAAAGTTAGAAGCTGATTGGCTACCATGCCTAACTGCACCGGATTTTGCACCCTCCAGTTTTAGTAAATCAAACTTTGTGTGTCATCCGTTCACCGGATAGCAACCATCACACTTCAGGTGACCTCTGACTCCTGAATCCTAAGCTGAATTATCAGGTTTTGATAAAGTAAATAAAGTTTTAAAAGGGGCAAATATATACATATATTTATCAGTAGAGGCATATATAAATTTAATCTAAGGCAATGCATTCCAATTGTTTGCATAGGCCTAAGTGCAACTGGTTCTCTTTAAAATTAGTATGTATTGCATTGATAGTGCTGACATTTCAGTAAACCCGCTGGGCTTTATTCATAAAAGTGTCTGAAATAAATATAAAAATAGACACGTGATACTTCATTCACTGATTATATTTAAGCTTGCATAACAGAAATTTAACATTGTAAATCTGGCTGCTGTGGGGTAAATAGGGGTATTTATTATTGAAGGTATTTAAAAAATTGGGCAGCACAGTTGCTAAATGGTTAGCACTCCCACCTGGCAGTACTAGGGTCGTGGGTTCAAATCCCAACCACGGCACTACCTGCCTGGAGTTTGCATGTTCTCCCCCCTGTGCCTGCGTGGGTTTCCTCTGGGTACTCTGGTTTTCTCCCACACTCCAAAGGAATGCTGGTAGGTGAATTGGCTTCTGTCTAAACTGGCCCTAGTATGTGTATGAATATACATTAGGGACCTTAGATTGTATGCCCCTTGAGGGTTAGGAAGTGATGTGACTGTACAATATATACATAAAGGGTACCTCTAATAAATAAATAAATTGTAAGCCATTATTTTTATCCTGAAATTTAGTTTACTCCAGCCCAACATACCAATTGAGTGGTCCATCCTTATTTAGGGTTGACTCAAACTAACCCTTTTGATTTCCAAAAGCCTGAGGTCTAACGTGAGTCAGAGCAGGTCCAGCATTCATCTAGAGGAAAATATTGGCACATTATAGTAAAATAATTACCATAGAAAAGGAGAAATAGCAGAGCTTGAAACAAAGCAACTCACAAGAGACTCTAATGGGGCTGCAGCCAAACCACTGTCTCAATGGTCAGTTAAGCTCAACTGCCAACTGAAGGAGCTTACATGGCAGGCGGAACTGTTGTTAATTGAGAGGCAGTGGTATTATCAATCTGAATTATTAGCAGGGTGTCCAGGTAATATGAGATTCATAAAAAAAATATTTGCTTCAGAAAACAGTGATGTATGATGCCAAACATATTAAAATAGAATTTGAGTTTACATACACTTTGAAGGAAACCTGCCATGAGGGAAACTTAAAAGCTGACTTTTATTTTTTTTTAATGCTAGCCACATGGCTGTCATGTTGAACCTCTTGCTTCACCCTGAGTTACTGACCTGAAACAAATGTGCAGTTTAGGACATCTGACCATATTCTGACTGGGCCCATTAGCATAACAACCAACCTACTATAATTTTCAGACTGACATGCCTAAATTTCCTTTATGACAGGTTTACTTTAAATAGAACCACTCATGGCTCAGATTATGCAGGAGTCTAAATATTCAGGGCTGAAATCAATGTAATTGTGTAGACTTACTGCTGCGTGCATGTTGGGCTTTTACCATAAAGTGCAGGTACGCATAGTGCAAAATTTAACTAACCCAGTGCCCTCCACCAGTAATGACAGGTCCAAGCTCCAGAAGCTGCTCTCATCTACTCCACTACTTTTTCTGGGTTCTGCAATGCACCTCTCGGCCCATCATTTATTTATTTATTTATTACAGGTACTTATATAGTGCCGTCAATTTATGCAGCACTTTACAGATATATTGTACATTCACATCGGTCCCTAACCCTCAAGGGGTGTACAATCTAAGGTCCCTAACTTCCATTCATACATACACATACTAGGGCCAATTTAGACAGGATCCAATTAACCTACCAGCATGTCTTTGTAGTGTGGGAGGAAACTGGAATACCCAGAGGAAACCCACGAAGGCACAGGGAGAACATGCAAACTCCAGGCAGGGGTTTCCGTGGTTGGGATTCAAACCAACGACCCTAGTACTGGCATTGGGTAGCCATGGGTGGAGAGAGTGCCTTTTATATGCCAGCTGTTGGTGGGGCACATGGGGTATGGGAGCAGGATACCCTCGAGCTGCAGAGATGTAGAGCTGAGTTGGAGCCTAAATAAAAGAGCCCTTTGCAGGGCTGAACTGGAAAGCTGAAAAAGGAACTTGTTCCCCCCATCCCTTCGCTTAGTGGCTCCCATGGCTTAGTTTAGTGTGGCCCCTGGCCTATGGAGGATCTCCACTGTGTGTGAGGGAGGAACACTGTGTGAGTAATATCTTGGCTAAGTAGATTGTAACATCTGGGGAAGATGGCTTTCCTGGTGTGGGTGACATTATGTGCTCTACACTGACCACTGCATAGTAAGGTATGAGAAAGAGGAGAGTGTTCTGCACTGTGGACTTCTATCAATGAGACATGTAATATGAACTGTACTGCAAAGTGTGTGTAACCGAAGAATTGCGCTGGAGTGATGTTTGTGTAATAAAGCAGTCTGGATCTTTGTAACAGGCCTCAGGCTGGGAATATGTGGGGGAGCAGGCTTCAGACCAACTGCAGGTGGCACAATATGGAGGAGTTTCTCTAAAACAACAGATGGGTGACTCCAGTGTAAGAAGAAGTGGGGTGGGTCCTGTGTCCACTTCTCCAATATGGGCCCTCATTACATATAAAAACTTAAAGTGTTACTAAACCCACAACAGTAAAATCAGTCTGTATATGTAGTAAAGCATGCTTGTTATACTCACTGTGGAACCTAAGGGGTTAATCCTCTGCATTGTTTAAAAAGGCTGTTTGATCCTTTCTTCTCTGCCCCTCCTCTTGTTGAAATGATCACCTGATACAGACTAAACCCGTGGTCACATGCACATGCTCAGTTTGGTGTGTATTGCAAAAGGGTTTTTTTTTTCCTCTTCTAGGGAAGGTGCATGTGATCAGCACAGGGCCAATCAGCACTGTCCAGACAGAGGGTCAGAGGTTTCACATCCTCCTAGAGCAGAAAGAAAACTCCTCTTACTAGCTTTAACCAGAGCTCTGCTAAAGTCACAAGACTGCTCTAACTGCTGATGAGAAAAGGTATTTGGCAGTTTATATTTACTAAAATAATTACATTTCCATGTTGTGTGTACTGTGGGAGACCAGATACAGTGAATGCAGGGCCCTGATTTTAGTATCACTTTATAAACTGCCAGGAGTCGTGGGAAACTGTTTATTGGCAAATACAACTTAGCAGGTCTCTTCTTCCAAAAACCTCTCATTCTTAGCATTTTTATTGGGGGTCCTTAGTTCTTTTTTTAAGAGACTCTGTTATCAAAACATTTATTTCAGTAAAAATCTTCTAATATAATGTTATACAATTTTAATTTATTTTAGGTATATTATTTACCTGTAAAAGCCTGCCTTGTGTGATCCCATGCCAAATTCCTGAGGCTACTGCTGGGCAGTGCCATCTTGGATGTTCACCTTTACTTTAGCCTTGTCTGGTACTCAAAATGTCATGTTGGATAATGAGGGGTGCAGGAGCTGGGCCAACACATACATTAATTAGACACACACACACAGATAAAGAAAGGTAATGATGTAGAAGGAGGGAGGGGCTGGGGCTGTGCTAGGAAACTGACTCTTACTGCAGTAACCAACTTTGCTAGCATGTTCAGAGGCATATTTCAAGTCAATAAAAAATATTTTATTGAAATCAAAAATTATGCAGAATTTAATATATGTATTACTACCCCCTTGAGGGCAACTGAGTTGTTTTTGGGTGCCCTGTCTCCCTGAGCCTGCTTTGGAAGCCCAACCCCTGCTGACACCACCATAAACCTTTGGCTGGGAGAACCGTCTGGCTTTTTATCATAAAAGAGACACACACAATAAAGCAGTCTGGATCTTTGTAACAGGCCTCAGGCTGGGAATATGTGGGGGAGCAGGCTTCAGACCAACTGCAGGTGGCACAATATGGAGGAGTTTCTCTAAAACAACAGATGGGTGACTCCAGTGTAAGAAGAAGTGGGGTGGGTCCTGTGTCCACTTCTCCAATATGGGCCCTCATTACATATAAAAACTTAAAGTGTTACTAAACCCACAACAGTAAAATCAGTCTGTATATGTAGTAAAGCATGCTTGTTATACTCACTGTGGAACCTAAGGGGTTAATCCTCTGCATTGTTTAAAAAGGCTGTTTGATCCTTTCTTCTCTGCCCCTCCTCTTGTTGAAATGATCACCTGATACAGACTAAACCCGTGGTCACATGCACATGCTCAGTTTGGTGTGTATTGCAAAAGGGTTTTTTTTTTCTCTTCTAGGGAAGGTGCATGTGATCAGCACAGGGCCAATCAGCACTGTCCAGACAGAGGGTCAGAGGTTTTCACATCCTCCTAGAGCAGAAAGAAAACTCCTCTTACTAGCTTTAACCAGAGCTCTGCTAAAGTCACAAGACTGCTCTAACTGCTGATGAGAAAAGGTATTTGGCAGTTTATATTTACTAAAATAATTACATTTCCATGTTGTGTGTACTGTGGGAGACCAGATACAGTGAATGCAGGGCCCTGATTTTAGTATCACTTTATAAACTGCCAGGAGTCGTGGGAAACTGTTTATTGGCAAATACAACTTAGCAGGTCTCTTCTTCCAAAAACCTCTCATTCTTAGCATTTTTATTGGGGGTCCTTAGTTCTTTTTTTAAGAGACTCTGTTATCAAAACATTTATTTCAGTAAAAATCTTCTAATATAATGTTATACAATTTTAATTTATTTTAGGTATATTATTTACCTGTAAAAGCCTGCCTTGTGTGATCCCATGCCAAATTCCTGAGGCTACTGCTGGGCAGTGCCATCTTGGATGTTCACCTTTACTTTAGCCTTGTCTGGTACTCAAAATGTCATGTTGGATAATGAGGGGTGCAGGAGCTGGGCCAACACATACATTAATTAGACACACACACAGATAAAGAAAGGTAATGATGTAGAAGGAGGGAGGGGCTGGGGCTGTGCTAGGAAACTGACTCTTACTGCAGTAACCAACTTTGCTAGCATGTTCAGAGGCATATTTCAAGTCAATAAAAAATATTTTATTGAAATCAAAAATTATGCAGAATTTAATATATGTATTACTACCCCCTTGAGGGCAACTGAGTTGTTTTTGGGTGCCCTGTCTCCCTGAGCCTGCTTTGGAAGCCCAACCCCTGCTGACACCACCATAAACCTTTGGCTGGGAGAACCGTCTGGCTTTTTATCATAAAAGAGACACACACAAGTTAGAGTGAACTGGCACTTTGATGAATTTTTAGTTCAAATGGTTAGCACAGCAAAATTAAGCACATTAAGATGACAAGAAGGTATATGCAAGAGAAAGGGAGGCCCAGAGTAGAAGAAAAGAAGAAGACATGAACGAAGGACCTGCATGACAATGGTTAAAGGGGATTGGAAGGAGTCATCAGCGGATCCAGTAGAGAAATTTGTCTCTAAATGCGCAGTTACACTGTGCATCTGGTGAGTGCACAGCCTTCACTTTTTTTACTATCACGGCTTGGAAGAAGCACTCTGATGGAGAGGGAATTTCATCTCCCACGTTTTCACTAAGACTGCTATTTTGCAGTGCTTGTCACTCTGTTAGTGACGGAATACATGTGATCACACAAGTCACTTGATTTATGCTCACCATATATTTGTATTGACTATATTGGCACTTTTGTCATTAGACACTTTGTGATATGGTTTATAATTATTAATATTTTAGAATTTAGCGCCGCATCTTTTATGTACTCTGAGTCTTGTAAGGTTATTTGGTATCCTTTTTGATGCTGTGGCTGCTTTTTTGTTTTTAGCGCTCACAATTTTTATTAGAATCTTATGTTATACTGTGTTTTCGTTATTTAAATGTTACTTATTGATGGTTGTAATAAAAGGCTGTTTGGGCCATTAACTCCAGTTTTGTTGTCTGTGTGGTGGTACTTAAGGTAAAAGGGGGTAGGTAATGGTCAGGAGGGACTGGGACAAGCCATCTTTAGTCCCCTGGTCATGACAGTTAACACTTTTAACAAACTCAAACAAAGGGGTTGCAACATAGCACACTCAATTCAGTTCTTTTATATGTCCTGCAGTTCAGAATTCAGACAGTATCATCAGCCTGAGACGTTTTCTTTCAAAGGAGAAGAAGGAGAAGCAATCAGATTATTATTATTATACAGGATTTATATAGCGCCAACAGTTTATGCAGCACTTTACAACATAAGGGTGACCAGTACAAATACAATACAAATTACTACAGGAGGGATCAGAGAGCCCTGCTCCTTAGAGCTTACAATCAAAGAGGGAAGGTCAAAAGATATAAAAGGTAATAACTGTGGGGGATGGGCTGATGAATAAAATACATGTACAGTTGTTTTAGTGGGGGCAGGATAGGCCTCTCTGAAGAGGTGAGTTTTAGATAGACGGACTAGCTCACTTTGGGCACTTCGGTAACGGTGGCTGGGTTCAATTCTGAAAGATGAAGAGCTTTGTAGAAGGATGAATGAATGTCCTTTAAAACTTCAATGTTCAATCTTCTTCATGCTCAATGGGGACGTGGTTGGTGCACATAAAGATTCAAATTTCGATTGATGCAAAGGATGGAGTGTCCCTTTAATACTTCTGGGCAAAACCATAGAATTTGTCTGAGATTGAGAAAAAGGGGGGGGGGGGGGCAGAACACACTTCTGTAGTAGAATTGGAAGGTTTCCTGGTGAATGGTGTAAGCTGGCTCTGAGGCACCAAGGGAGCCTGCAGGGAGCAGATATTGCAGTAGGCTCTTGTGATTCAGTATGTTGAGAGTGTGTAATGATTAGTAGGCCATAAGGATAGATGGGCCAAACAATCTAGGCTGTAACACCTGTAACTTGTAGAAAGGTGAATGCTAAGTTGAGAAAAGAGTAACTGAGTTTAGCAATGTCTTTTGCAACTTAAATAATTTGGGGTATGGAGCTCTCTCACCCTATCCGTGGCTATGGTCAGGTAGCAGATTGTCTCTCTGCAGATGGGGTCCCCTATCCTCTCTGGATGTCTTCAACACAGATCACTCAGATGACAGCACTCTGGTCCGTCTGCTTGTTCGCTAGGTTGCCAGCGGTCTCCAGTTCTTCACTCTCTCTCTCTCTCTCTCTCTCTCTCTCTCTCTCTCTCTCTCTCTGCAGTTCTGGCCCAGCCCAGACCTCACAGCATTCCTCTCCAACCCTCACTGTCCACCTCCCTTTCTGATTCCCAGGCGTCTGTATTTATCTGCCCCGCCCATCAGCTAGCTCCTCTGGTAAATGTAGTTTGTCATTTCCACAATAAACAATGAACTCCTGCTAGCAACCTACATGTCCCACAAAGCTTTTCTTTGGCTGAGCCTGTCTAACTGGGCTGCAGAACTCTGCCATCTTGTGTCCATTTAACATTCTGCACCCAATATTTCTGCAGGGTGTTACGATCATTGCAGCAGCAGATCCACGCAGCTCTGCGGAAGGATTTGCATGGGAGTGTCTTGTCATCTGGGCCGATGCTAGACTATTTTGCACCCTGGGCAAGACCAGCTACTTGTGCCCCCCCCCCCCCCAAAAAAAATGTTTTTCTTAATACAGTAGAAACTATTAAATAAAAGCATGAATCTGCTAAATTTCTTTTAATTTGCCAAAATAAGTGCCATAATATGCTTCCAGCACCAAATATTAAAGACAAAATCAGTGTCACAAATGGGCTGTTTCTGTGGCTGGCAGTGGCAGTGTAACAGGTGACTGGCAGTTTCAGAGTGGAGGATGATGGATCCACGCTCTGACAGATCCCAGGCTGGAATTCCCCAGGCAATAGTGGGAGATAAAACGCTGTGACAACAGGCAGCCCAGGCCATGTACACACAGAGAGGACACCTGAACTGAGTGATCCCACAGTGTGACAGATCTGACAGAACACACCAACACTGACACAGATCAGCAGTCCCAGCAGGTACTAGAAGAGCAGGCTGTGGGATCATGATGATGTCATCACTCACTGACACATTGCACATGTGATGGATGGCCGGCCGAGTCACACTCACTCACACAGACATGAGACATCAGAATCAGACATCAGAATCAGGCACACCTCCGCCTCTACTGATGAATAGGAAGAAAAGGGATGAAACTCCACAGTGATCAGCAGCTGCCAGATGGCTTGCAGTAAGGGACTGAGTCTGAGAGGAACACTGGAAGGAGAGGCAGCTAAGCTGCTACACTGACCCTAGCCCCCCCTGGCATCTTCCTCTGTCCTTTCTTCCTCCCCTCTGCCACCCCTGTCCTCAGCTGAAGTATTTCAAGACATAGTGGTGTCCTGAACAGAGAGAGTGCCGGCCTGTGCTGTACCCAGGTGCCCCTAAGTGGCAATACGCCCTAGGTGGCTGCCTAGTTTGCCTGGTGGAAGCACCGGCCCTGCTTGTCATCCTAAGCTATGGGGCTTATATTAAAGCACACAGTGTAGGAATACACAACTCTAGTCTCCAATTGCAAGGGTGGCTCTATAGGAAGCTGCAAGCGAAAGGAACTAGAGAAATCTGTGGCAGCAGTCATGGCACCAGCTTAAACTGGAACACAGACAAGGAATAGAAGATTAATAAACTATATTCGATGAGAGATTAAAGGATAAGTTCACCTTTTCTACAATGTTACATGCTACACCCACATTCAGGGTGTAACATGTAACATGTTGCGAATAGACCAGCCTCAGCACCCCCCCCCCCCCGATCCCCATTGTGACAGCTAGCTGGGGATCTTCTCCTCCCCTCTAGTTGTCACAATTGTTTTAAAAAGTGACTGTGCGGTGCTCAGTCCGCCTGGCTGCATCACTCATTCACAGTATTCTGTGAATGAGAACACTAGAAGTCCCGACAGCTTTATTGGCTGTTGGCTTTTAGTTCTCAATGAACTACCAAAGCGCTGTGGAGCACTGTGGTAGTCCATTGAATCTTCCTATCTGTATATATGCTTGCTCGTACATCTTGTACAAACAAGCAGATATACCAACAGGTTTGCAGGAAACCTGCATTGCACCAGCAATCTGCTGATCAGTGGTGCAATGGTTTACAGGCTCCTGCAACAAAAAGTAATAAATGCACATTTTGTACCTACAAAACCTGTGCATTTATTATTTTTTGTTAAAAGGTGAACTTATCCTTATCAGTTGCCAAAGTGCTTAAAAACTGAAGGTTTAATTACTTAAAGCGTAGCTCCACCCAAAAGGGGAAGTTCCGCTTTAAGGACTGCTCCCCCCCCGCACCCCATTAAGGATTGGCACCTTTGGGGGGGCGGGGGGGGCTTAACGGGTACCCAAATTTGACAGGTACCCGCTCCCACTTTTGGTCCGATCACCTAGGCGATCAGAAATGGAAGATGTCCTCTCTCCCTCCCTATAGTCTTTTGGGACACGTGACAGATCCCAGAAGACTACAGGACCATTCAGAAAGCGCAGTACTACTCGCGCATGCGCAGGGGGTACCCAGCTGTGAAGCCACAAGCTATCACACCCGGGTGCCCACACTGAAGATGCCGGCATCCTGGAATA